CTACTGCGTTATCTTGATAAAAATCCAAAACAATTTCAAATCAATTTGTTACCTTTTTTGAGATAGTTCGTATGGTGCTGCTCTTGTATGATGGTACTATTTGATAAAATTGCTGCTTCTTAAATCCGGCTCGTTTGGACCATGGATAAATGTAAACTAGTACCATTGATAAATTCTTCTTTATTGAATGATAAAATACACAAACTATTAACATAAATTGATAAAAAGGCATTTAATACAAATAAAAATGTTGTTACATCGCTCACGTCACATTTTTCACTCCTTTCGAATTACGTTCCTTAATTACAAAAACATTTTCTATGGCTTTCTTGGCGGCCAGTGTGATATTTTTTTATTATTGCTTGACCAGATAATGAAAATATATTTTTTTATCACTTATACAAGTAGGTATTTTTTTATATATTATTACTAGCTTATGCATGTGAATTTTAAAAAGCAACAAAGTTAGTACCCTATATCCCCAGACTATCCTATTCAGCTATACCAAATTTCATCAAGATCCGTTCAGCAGTCTACAAACTAACAAACATCTATCTAAGTGTCGCATTTATAATATTAGTAATATTAAAAAATTTATATTCCAGTTGCGGCAATGTGTTATACAGAAGATTTACTAATATCGACAGTACCAACAAATCATTTGCAATTCAAGAAACTGTATGAGAAACTTGGCGATGGCGCATGTCATCTACATAATTACGCAAGTGCTGTGGAATATTATTTAAAAATGTTGGATCATGCAGAATTAGCGGGAGACTGTGGGAAAACTCTAATACCTATTTATGTCAGGTAAATACATAAATTTATCTATAATAATATTATGAAGAGGAAAGATTTGTATTTATATGTATTAACTCAAAAATTACTTGGCTGATTTAAAAAATTCTTTCAGCATTAAAAAGCTACTTTACTAGGTTACATACAAACATTTTTTTACATATAACATTGTATGTAAACTCTAGATACTCCTGTGCGGGTTCATCCTACATATATATTTTTTTTGTCTACATTTCATAACTTTCATTTGCATATCAAAATTCTAATGTTCAAATGGCAATGAAGGCCTTTTTTATTGGCTAACAATTACAGTTATTATGGCAATCTTGATCTTATTATTTATGACTTGTGTTTGTCCAGTTTTTCCACTACCATATTAAATAGCGTGAAAATACAGCCTATAGAGCTAAGTGTAGGGATTTTTATTAAATTATTGGTTCAAAAATATGCTTTGACTGCTGACGGTGTACATAACAAAAAAGTGTGTGTTTATATTTTATTAAATTAGTATAGTTCTTACTTCTTAGTATAATTTTATAAATGCGAAAGTTTAGATGGATGGATGTTTGTGGAGTTTGTAGCCTAAACGGCTGAATGGCACTCGATGAAATTTGGCAAAGATGTAGAGGATAGTACAGAAGAACACATAAGGCTACTTTTGTTTTATTAAATTGCTTGAGATGGAGTCGCGGCGGAAAGCTAATATAGATATAAAATTCATTACAGCTTATATCAAACATACAAAGACATGGGAAATTACAATGAAGCATTACAGTATTATGATAAGGAATATGAGTTAATAAAAGATGTCCCAAAAGAGGCTTACACAACCCTCATTAATATAGCGGAAGTTTCATTTTTGGCTAAAAAACCTTATTCAGTTATTGAAAAAGCATGTTACGATGCGAAAAAAGCTGTAAGTGTAAAGTTTTATATTGATTTACAATATTTTATTTATCGGATGAAATTTTAAAATAATAATTATGTTGTTTAGTGCCAGTCCTACCAAAATGTAATTGTTGTGATAATACTTAATTAATGTGTAAAATATGTGATGGAAATAACGGTTTTTGTTACCTTATGTGACAGTGACGTCATTTTTAAGCTATCTGAATCTCTATCAGCCAGTGGTGGGACAGGCCTTAACATTTTATATTTTAATACTGTTTGAAGTATTTTGTATTAATTGTATTCTAGGCTAGAGATTGGAATAAAAAGAAATACGAAATACGCGCATTGAAGTATCTTCTGAAATATCAAGAAGAGTACTTCGAGATGGAAGGAATGGACCGAACTAAAGAAGAATTAAAATTATTAGGTTATGATGATTTTAATGATATGGACAATTCAGAAGATGAACAGAGCTCTACTGGTGGCGAAGATACCCCGCATATTGGTGATGATATCTGTCTTGAAGATCTCACAGGTATTAAGAAAATAATAAAAACGATTGATTATGTTAGGGTTGTCAAAAAATCAAGTGATGTTTATTTAGAAAGTTTTTGAAATCGCCCCTTCTAGTGGTGTGTAGTCAAGTTTTGCCCTTTTGTACCCGAATTTACGTGTATTTTTTAACAGTAATATTGAAAATTTCTAAATATTTATTTATTTAAATTTAATGAAAAATGTTGGAAACTCCTACCTCCCTTATGTGCCACACATGATTAATGAACAAAATAAAAAGTGATTTAATTATTTGTTGATTTTGTGTAGATCTTTCCGACGCAAATGACGAGGATGTAACAGAAACAAAAAGGGAAACAAGGAAAAGGGGGAAAGGTTTTACTATAAAAAAGAACATGAAAGGAGAAACACAATTACATGTGGTATGTTATTTTAAATGTTATTTCAAGCAGTAATAGAAATATGGATAACTAGTTAAAAAAAATGAGTAGCCTATGTTCATCCAGGCTATACTTTATATCAATGTTAAAATTCATCAAAAATATTCCCAACCGTCACCCCGCTCTGTCCCAACGCGAGAATGGAAAGGATCTGTCACACCTTTTGCGATGAGGGGACGGTTGGAACTAATTCTATTTTATAACGGTTCCATCTGACACCTTATTGGTGGTAGTGGGACTAAAAGGTAGGACGGATGAAACTTATTATTCTCATGTTGGGATAGAGCGGGGTGACGGCTGGGAATACTCTAGGGCATGTCCTGCCAAATTTAAATTGTCTGATAACGATCCTACGTGTAAAACATGTGTTGGAAATGTCGGATTTTGTTCCGTTATCTGACAGTGGCGTCAATATTAAGCTATCTGAGTCTCTATCAGCCACTGTTGGGACAGGCCCTAAGATTACATTTAGCTAGTTATCCTTAAAGTATTCTTAACATTCAGATTTAAGAAAATAAATAAAAAATCAATACTAAAATATTTAATTGTCTATCAGGCATGTATATCAGGTAATAAGTTACTGGTGGAGCGTCTGTTGGGGAAGGGTCATCCAGTGAATGTACGAGACAACGCGGGCTGGCTGCCGCTGCACGAAGCCTGCATACACGGGCATATGCAGGTCGCGCACATGCTCATACAATATGGAGCCAATGTTAACGATAAGGGTGGAGTTAATTGTGATGGTAAGAATTAACTTGATAACTTAACTGACAACAAATAAACGAGGTATAAAGTTAACCCTTGCATCACTTTTTGATTTAAAATACCATAAAGTGATACGGGTAGTAAATTGAACATAGATTAAGAGATAAAGAAAAAAAATAGATTTTTCAAAATAGTGTATAACTTTTACATAAAAAAAAACAACTATCAGATCATGTTTCAAATCTGGGCCAAATTTTATAGCGATCTGTTAAGCCGTTCTAGATACTTTCTAACATATATTTAAACTTTCGCATTTATAGTAAGAATAAGAAATACCATCGTTATCTGTCTACTTTTATAATGTTTTAAAACTATTTTAAACATTACTATAAATAAATTTTACAACACTTTTATTGCCTAGTCTTTATTTTATTAATTTATTTTTCGTTAATTAATGTAATGTCTTTTATCTTAAAGCTTTGTTAAATCAATTTATGTTGTGACATAAAAATAATCGAACTTTGGGATTTTCTCTTAATGTTTATTAATATTCTTAATATTTTCAGGTATAACACCATTATACGACGCTGCAAGTAATGGTCACTTAGAAGTTGTACAATTACTATTAGATAACGGCGCTATACCTTCAATGAAAACTGACTTTGGTGAAACACCCTTAGATGTACTACAAAAATGGCGCGCGGGAATCATTCTAACGAAAGACGAAGAAATATTATACAACGAGATATGCACTAAAATACATAATTTCATAGACAAAACTGCGGGATCAGCATTAAATAGATCCAAATCTAAAACACCAGTCAAACCAATCAAAGACACAACTCCACCTAGTACTTCTAAAATGAGTAGCAGAATTAAAGAATTAAATTCGCCCGGATTTAAAAGAAGAAATATAATTGAAGACGATAGTGATGAAGATATTGATCTATCGCAGAATATTCGAGAACAAACTGCTTTCCCATCTGACGATTCCAATGATTCGTCAGAAGAGATTGTGAAAACTAAGAAAAAGAACAAAGGGGTCCAAGAGTATAGAAATGCGATATCCGCATTAAGAAATAGAAGTATAGAATTACCGGAAGTGGATGTTAAAACTAAATCGAAACCAGCGTTATTAGACCCTAATGAAGTTGACGATGATTGGTTGGATGACGATTTAGGTATAACTAAAGGTAGAAAAAGAAAACTGAGCGACCCAATAACAATAGCTCCTAAGAAAACATCTTTTGAAAGTATTAAAGAAAGTATTGACAGTCTAAATGAAATTGAACCACTTCTAGATAATACAAATAATACGAAGCAAAAGAAATCGCGTATCAGTGATGTGGTCGATGTAACAGAAACTTCAGATACCGATAGTAGAAACGAGAATTTATCACCCAAAAATTACGCGATAGAATCTATGAGGAATATAAATAGAGTTTTAAATGAGTCAAAATCTAGAGATACGAGAGACGCTATGAAAAGACGATGTAAAAGACAGAGTACATTATTTAAATCCGGTTTCCAAAGGAGACGTGAAAGTTTCGACCGTTCTAGTAACAGTGGTAGTGATAACGAGATAAATCATACAAGACATTCTGGAAAGTTCTCCCGTCATTCGTCTGGCGAAAATTTTAGAACCGATGGATTTAATATTGTTCAAAATATGAATCATAATATATTGCAGCCATTGAATGTTGTTCAGCCAATAATAGTTCAGTCTAAAAGTGGCAAAGCGATGCAAACACAAATATTACCTCCGGCTGCAGTGAAAGTGCATGTTGAAGATAAAGTGTTTCTCATCTCATTGAAATTGGACACAATAAATAAGTTAACAATCAGCTGGCTGGTTGAGGAAGTAACTTCTAGATATTATAAGTAAGTGAACATTTTTAAAAATTGTTTTAAACTATGTAAATTGTTAAGGGCCAAATCTCTTCCTAACAAATTTTTATCGGTTTCCGTAGTTCCGTTCTGGAGATATATAGCAAAAACATCCATCCAAACTATCGCATATATAATATTAGCAAGATAATATTTATATAACAATATATCCTTTTGTCTGTAAAAAGATCTGTATTTTTAAAATTTATCAAGTGAGAAAAAAATCTTGACAAAGCAGGTAGTGCTGGCGGCGACTACATTTTCTGTATTTGGTAGAAATGGTTTTTTTCAAATTTGACACAAGCCAAATCCGTCAGAAGTCATATTCGTCAGAAATGAAATTTGACAAAACTCTTCACAACTCATCACATAGACATCTTTTGTGAACCAAAGTCAGTTTTAGTTCCTTCAAAACGATTCCCTTTTGTATATTAGTGAAAAGTAGTACTTTAATATTTTGCATAGATGGCGCTAGTAAAAAGTAGTATCCCAATGTTTTGCATAGATGGCGCTAGTAAAAGGTAGTGTCCTAATGTCTTGCTTAGATAGCGCTACTCAATATTTTGCATAGATGGCGCTTACATACATAGGTTAGATTTCAAAATTGATTTTTAATTAATTATTGAATAACCAGGTTAACAGGCGTGCGGCCGATGTTCAGTTTGATGACGTCAGATGGAGCTATCCTGTCAGAAGATGATCCTCTCAGCCTAGTTCTAGCCTCACCTGAACTTAAGACCTGTATCAGTAACTGGAAGGCCTCGCCCGCTGAAGAAAGATATTTGGAGTGCTGCGAAGCATTAGCAATATGTAAGTCTATTTAATATATTCTTATTTGTATGTGATTTCCATGTAATAATTAGAAGTCTTTTTAATATAATGTATTGTAAATACAAGTTAATAAATAAATGAACAGTCATAGCATGGATCGACAAAGGACTAAAAAAAATGTTGCCATATTAAACTTTGACCACAGATAAAAAATTTTATTCATAATTTTAGAAGACAGTAAATAACTGTAATCCATACTAATATTATAAAGAGGAAAGATTTGTATTTTTGTTTGAAATAACTCAAAAACTACTGGTCCAATTTCATAAATTCTTTCACCGTCAAAAACCTACGTTATCAGTAAGTTACATAGACTATATTTATTAATATATTCAATTTCACACCGACGACGTCGCGATTAATAGCTAGTACATTAATTAAATTAACTATTTTTTGTACTCTAACAAATTTTAATATTTTTTGTAATAGAAATATTTTTACAGCACCATCACAAGAAATCCAACACGCGGTTGGCAGAAGTCATACAACCCGTAGAATCGCACTCGGAGCTAACACATTATCTACATTACAAATACGTCCATTATTTAGAGCATTAACACACCAAACACACATTACATCTATCATTATTTCCAAAAATAACCTCAAAGACGATGGTATGAAATATCTAACCGATGCCATCTGTACTATTAAAAATCTATCACATCTAGATATCAGTTTTAATAATATTACCGAAGAAGGAATGAAGATTTTCTTACAAATGTTTGAAAAACCAACTCGAGTTAATTGCCAAGCTTTGGACGAATTGATATTAAATGGCAACCCTATATGTGACAATGGATTCAAATGTATAGGAAAATTGACGCAGCATTTAAGGTTGAAGACTTTGAAATTAAATGATTGTAATATTAGTGAAAAATGTGTGGATGGTTTGAAAATGAATTTAGATAGTATTGAGTCGATTGATTTAAGTAATAATGACGTAAAACAGGTTACTGTGAGTTATTTGATGACGTCATTAAGTCCTAATTTCATAGTGGATTTGGAATTGGATAATATTGGTGTTTTGGGCAATGTTGTTGGTTGTTTGGCGACATTTATGGATACGGCGAAGGATTTGAAGATACGACGGTTAGGGTTGTCGAATTGTAAATTGGTCGATGGGCAATTCATGAGAATATTTAGGTAAAAGTGATTTTTTTTTGTTTTTAACGTTTTTTATTTCTTTTCAAATTAAGTTTATATAATAAGGTATAATTTGGTGTGGAAGTTGGAAAAATATAAAAATGGATTAACGCATATTTGCTTTTATACACCTTATGGTTTTTTCTATAGTATAATACAGTGAAAAAAAAACACATCTTGCCTATTGCCTTATCCAATAGATGGCGTTGTTATAAAAATGTGAAACAACGAAAATTCTATTAACTTGACTTTGATCGTAATTTTTTTGGCTGATCTTTTTAAATTCGGCAAATATTTAATTTTCTATAATCAGATCGCGTAATTATTTTTTTACTTTTCAGGGCCCTTGGTCGAGCAAAGCACTTACATTGTCTAAGTCTAAAAAATAATCTAGTGACTTTTATTACATTAAAGAAATTATTGCAACGCCAGCCTCCAGTCCCTCAAATAAATTTAGAGGGTTGCCATGATATATTTAAATTCTCCCCGGACTCGGATTTCCAAGTATGGTTGCCAGCTATTGACTTCGGAAGGTGTATTCCTGAAATAAATGTAACGCCGCTTCTGAAAACTGACGAAGAAAGGGATAGTTTTAAACTTTTCTCTAAAACTTGGCTTAGTTGCTTTAAAGGCAGGGGAGTTATAGAACATTGTGATGACGGTGTTACGAAGTTTACAGCAAAATGATAAAAAAAAAAAAACAGAAAAATATTAATTTTTTCTATAGAAAATTATAACTTTTTTTCTATGTCCGAACCAGTGTTAATAATAAGGATTTTGTTGTATTTTTACAGTCGAATCTTTACACAGAAAATTGTGAACTCAACTGTATATTTTACTGTCTTTGACCAGTGTTTAGTAATCAATCACATTAGTAATATTAGGGTAGACAGAAATAGACATTTTTATGACTTTTTTAAGTAATGTAAAGCTGTGTTGTAAATATATTCTCTATTGTAATGAATTAAAATACTTTTAAAACAGGTGTATAATTTTTTCATACTAATATTATAAATGTGAAAGTTTGGATGGATGGATGGATGGATAGATGGATGTTTGTTAGAGTTTGTAGCCTAAACGACAGAACGGATCTGGATGAAATTTCGCATAGATGTAGAGGATAGTCTGGAAGAACACATAGGCTACTTTCTTTTGTTTTTATTAATACCACGCGGACGGAGTCGCGGGCGAAAGCTAGTTTATTAATATTACCCTGTTAAATCTTATGTTTGTTTCCATCAAGATTTGGTCATTAAATCTCAGAAAGGGCAAACGTTTGATGGATATTATTTTACTACCGAAAGCGACAATATCTAAGACGATAAAATCTTTAAGACAACGTAATAATCGGTTATGTAGTTAAAGCAAATATATTAACTAACTGTCGATGTACTATTAAACCATTAACATCCAATTTCGGACACAGGTGTGTTATTTAGTATTTGAAAATCATAGCATTTAACGTGTTAAGTGGTTAGAAGTTATAAAATAATCAAATATGACTAAATTTCTCATAGTATTAGGTGGCAAACGGAATTCGCCAAAATATCGTAGCGATCGCTGCCCAGAAATGTCGGCATTTTCAGTTGGATTTGTTTACATTTAATTAACAGAGGAAGGGACCCATAGAAAGAGCTTATGTCCACTACCTATGCATTCCATTCCCTGGTAAAATGAGGCCAATATGTGCGAACATGTTAGACTGTGCATATGTATCCGCATTACATAAGTAACTTGCACAAGTCAGTAACTGTATTGCTACCTACTCTATTTCACTAGGACGTTTGTTTTAAAAAACCAACAGCTACTTAATAAAAGTACGTATAACGGTAATTAAATTGTACAGCTCATAGGTCCTCACTAATAGAAATATTATACAAAATTATTAATGCGCGAATGAACAATAGAAAATCACAAAAAAAATACGAAATACGAAATCGCAATAACTATTAACGAAGTTCCATTTTAACTATGCCCACCTTTGGAGTTTTAAAAATTTGGTCCACATTCGGTAACTTCGACTGACCCAGTCACGACAGCGAACAAAAATGAAGTACTTGTAGACGTAAGTTTACGACAGATTTTACGAGTGTCGTAAATTCGTTCATACATAGAGCGATGCTTAAAGCTACAGCTTTAATACATACATTAACATCTTACTCTCGCACTTTGAGTAAGTCTTATAGATCGTCCTATTTATAGTCTAGCATATTGAAAAATCGAAGGGTAAAATAATTTTCAGGTTCAAGAAGACGACGGAAGTATGTATGGATATTGCAAAGAGGATAAGCTTATGAGGGCAGTGAATTCACATATGATGTCTGATAGAAATGTATGAAATACATACTGTGCCGACCCTCCGTGGTAAGGTCAGATTAATGAGTTTCAAAATTCGATCTTTTTTAACAGTTTTATAAATAATATCCAGGAATACTTTAAAAGTATGGTAAGCGTAGGTAGTCGACCGCCTGTAGCGAAGCTTTTTAGCGTACGTTTCTATATCGAGGAACCCACAGAGAATCATTTTTTATCACTCTATAAAGACCTAATGTACTTAATCATACATTTTCACTACATTTTATGTATTTCTTAAAAAAAAAAACACTAAAATACGTGAATTCCAAAATATTAAGGGAAACCATTAAGCAATCGTTTAGTTTTCTTTTATTAAATGTATAATTTTTCTTTGTTATACTTAAGTTTAAATTTAAAACTGAACTGAAGTATAGTATATAACCTAATCAGTCTTCTCATGTTTATTAAAAACAAAATAAAAAGTAGTAATTAAAATAAAAGTTATCAATTTTATAGTTCCGCACAAAAGTCTCAGTTGTCCGTAAATATATGGTGTTCGTAATAATTACTGAAACACTGCAACCACCCGTTGGTTCTACAAGAGGCTTTTATAACAAAATTTAACGTAAATAGGTTGATGATTTAATGGTGGCTAATGCAACACTAGACAGTTAGCCTGGTTTTTCTCGTGTCAATACTGTGGCAAAGAATGCCATATTTAATTAAGTGCGTGAAATTAAAACAAATTAAACCGCTTTTCATATAGTAAGTATTCTACTATATTTGTTATAAGAATCTAAATAAATTTAATTTTACAATAACAATTTGAGTAAGGAACATTCTCACAATGTAATTGAGTGGCGTAGCTATTGACGGCACGTAGGCGCTGCGTAGGCCCGCGTAGGCTTGTGCCACATATTGCGTCTCCTATCAAAGACATGCCTTGAATTTACATCGTCTTCAACTAAATAACAGCCCAACGATGTTTTATGCTCGCATCAAAGATGATAAATTAGATTATACTGGAGCGTGCGCCATTTATCTAAGTAATATAGTGGAATATATTTAAAGACTAGAACTAGGACGCTTTACTATTATACTAATATTATAAATGTGAAAGTTTAGATGGATGGATGTTTGTTAGAGTTTGTAGCCTAAACTGCTGAACAGATTTCGATAAAATTGTTTTAAATGTAGAGGATTCTGGAAGAACACATACGCTATTTACTTTTTTTTTTAAATGCACGCGGACGGAAGCTAGTTTTATCATAATTTTTCATCGCGTAGCGTTTTTCTTTTGACCGATTGTTAGATATTTAAATAAAAATTCTGGACTTCGAACAAATGCTGTGGCTATATTTTGTCTTTAAAGTTAAAGGTTTCTATTTAGTTAAAACTATCAACATAATGAATTACAATTTATATTTCAAACATACAATAAACCGTTTATAAAACTATAAGTGTATAAAAAGCTATTTTTACACTATTTAATTTATAAGGTAGGCCTTTACCTGTCTGTCTAACAAATGTGTTGTGTAAAAACACGGGGAAAACGTTACATTTCGAAATGTCACGTAAATAAATACGCTACATTGGTGTCCCAAAACGACGACGTGACGTGATTATAACATTACGACGTGAAATAGGAGATAGAATAAACATGGTAAGAAATAGTACAAACATGCTTAGTAAAATTTGTTATAAACTTACTAATGTCAGAAATTACCTTTTAAAATATTTTTGACAAAGAACAACATACTTAATGGCATAGAAAATATGTATGTAATAAAATTGGAGTGTCTGTAATATCAAAAGAAAAATTCCAGGAAGATGATGTACTTGCGTTGCTGACTGCGCATTTAAGAATTTATCGTTTTTCTTTCTGCAAGCCGCTTTTATACCGGGCAACCTCCAGACGGCTGGGCCGGTTTCGACTTTCACTGAAGGGTAGCTGACATAGACGAGCATATTAGAGGCTACTTTTCATCTCAATATTCCATGGAAGAAGTCACGGGCAACAGCTAGTTATAAATAAAATATAGTACCAAAACAACGTTTTATTTATGAATCTAAATATCTAAAACACTAAACTGGCTATAACATAATTAAACTAATATAAACATAATATGTGAGCGCATATAAAATTCATTACGCAATCAAATTAACGTGACCCAAATCATGGGAAATAAATACATATTATATTTGTAGTCTATAGTTGTACAGGTCAATGGCTACGAATAATAGGGAATGAAACTCATTCAGGCATTTGTGAACACCGTATTTTGTGGTTAATTTCAACAAACTGCAGTTCATGTTGTACATTCATTTTGTATGAAAACTTCATATTACCATTTGAAGTTGTCGGTACTGACTGCATAATGTAGTCTATGGTCAGACTAATCAAATGTGGGTAGTTTGTGACGGTACTAATAAAAATATTTAAAAATGATTCCGAATAATTATAAGTAAAGCTCTTTTACAGTTCATTTTACGATGAACATTGTTGATTATGTTTTAAAGTGTTGTGTAATGCACAATGTATCCAAATCGAAGATTAAAGTAACGATGCCTGAAAGCATCATACATATATTGCAATGGTAAGTCAAATATTTAATTTCTTTATTATTACAGAATAACATATAAAATTGAAACCCAAGTATGCACTGAGATCACTAAAGGAAGCAGGTTTCAAATATATTATGTTAGTAAATTGCATAAGTTATTTTTAAATAAGCAATTTCAAATAAGAGGAAACAGATCTTAGCGTAGTTTTACTATGAAACGTTTTAAGCTTGCGGGCGTTATTTAGTAATAGCGCTATTATACGCTTATTACACTGTAAACGTATCCATTAGCTTTTACTGAAGAATATAAAAGGAAGCTACCGTAGGCATAAACCTTCTATAGAACTAAGAAGGATTACATTGTGAAATTTGTTCAGTTTATATAATAAAAAAGAATGAGGTATATACTAATTGGTCGCTAAAAAAAATCAATCCTTATCACCACCTTATTTGACGTCCCCACTGAGGGGCTCGGAGCCTACCCTAAGTTAGGGTGACTAGGCCTTAGTGAACCATGCTGGCCCAGCGCGGGTTGGTTGACTTCACTTATATCTTTGAATTTCTTTGCCGATATGTGCAGGGATGTTTTCCTTCACCGTAAGAACGTCGGGTAATTTATGTACAAAAGAAAATCACATTTGTACATGGCGGGAATTAAACCCAGAACCTGTAGATTACAAGTCAACTGCTTAAACCCCTAAGCTTCAACTTAAAATTCGATTAATTAATAATAATTAAAATTCATGTAGCATGAACGTTGCTAGCCAGATCCAGGTTAGGTCTGGAGGAGGGTTGCTGTCAATAGTATAATCTTATTCGAAGCAGTATTTATATCTATTTAATTTTTCGATTCTGTGGGAGGGGGAATAACTGTCCCCAGTCCTACTTCTTCTGGCGACGCTCATTTGCAGTAGATTCAAGTTTTATGTTGATGGGTATTTTTACACTAAAGTTTTATAAAATAATGGAGATATTTTTAACCATTTTACACATATCATTTAACTGTATAGTTAAGCTAGTAGTTATATGAAGCTAATTAAAAA